TGTGTTTTTTTTGGATGAAATGTAAATTTATATTAACACCCAAAGAAATTATACATCAAACAAGATTCTAGATCTCCCTAACCCCCCCCCCCCCCTACCTAGTGTCAGGGTTAGGAGAGGTTTTTGTTCGATCTAATCAAAATCCAAAAAGGGACCTAAGTATACATTACTAAATGCCTCTAAAACTCAAAAACCAATCGGTGCTGTGATGCATGCACACAGAACATCAAAATACATCAATCCTATGAAGAATGCATGGCGAAGAGGAGGTTATGCTATACTCCCCCCTTAGTCCCAAAAAGAAATCATGGTGTTGCAGGGTGCACACACACTCATCCCAAACAGATAATGCCGCTGTAGGGGAGACAATCATCCAATCATCAAAAGTTGATCAAGTCATTCGGGTATAAGCTATATAGGATCTTATATACCACATGCTTGATCTTAGCAATCACATCTTCTTTCGTCTTCGATCCTCCATCAAATCGTAGCTCATTCCTCGCATGCCAAATGTAGTAGACCGCAACACAAAATGCTAGATTGCTAGACGGGACCCCTTGGCCTTCATCGTTGATCCCTTGTGCGCCTTCCTGATCCACTTGATTGAGCTAAGCATTGTTGTCATTTGTCGTCCCATTCCAATCCAGTCTTTGATTCCATCCCAAACCCTACAAGAAAATGGGCAAAGAAAGAAGAGGTGTGGAATTGTTTCCAATCCACCCTTGCACAGGTCACACCTATTAACCATGTGGAGGTAACCGAGGCTATCCTGTGTGGGGAGCCGGTTCCTCAAGCCCTACCAAACATTAAACGAGAATTTTGGGGGGATGTAGGACTTCCAAATGAAGCTCATTTGCGTCCTAGTGATCCCCTTTACTCGTAGAAGCTCATAGATCTTGGCTGATACTAGTTTCCCATTGATACTCCTAGCGTTGAGGCCCATAATCGTTTCGTTTAAATTATTAGAGCACCCTCGTATTTTATCTTGTATTTGACTCAACCTCTTCATGAGCTGTGAGTCACGGCCGTGTGGGACAAACTCCCAGACACTTCTACCCTTAAGATAGACGCCATATATAACTAATTGCAATTGGTAAGAAACAATGAATATAACATGTCTGTGAAATTTCATTTAAGATAATCTTAAATCCATTAAGCTCACCGCACATATTAGAAGTCTTATCATATCATTGACTTCTAATTTCGGAAAAAGATAATTCGTACTTCCCAAAAAGTAACCATCAATGCCACTTTTCAAAGAATGACTGTATCAAGAACATGTCTAACTATATGAAATCGCTTCATCATAACTCCTTAGTCATTTAAATGTCTTATAACAATTTACATGTTCTATTTTACATAATTATTACATATCTAATAGTCATAGTTTTATATCAAGAAGCGGGGGCAATAATTTCAGGAAAAAGGGTCAAATAGGCCCTCCAACTTAAATAAAAAGGTCAAATAAGCCTTTATATAAGACACTCTTTCCGGCCGTCGTCATTTGGGGCAGTTCCAGGTGGAATTTTTTAATGAAGTTTTTTGATCATTTTTATTCATTAAGTCTAGTTTACTCATACCAAATTTCAGCTAACAATTCAATCGGGAAGACATTCAAATGAATTCTTGAAGATAACTACACTTTTAACTGCGCAGTTATCTTCAAGAATTAATTTGAATGCTTTCCCGATTGAAGTTTTAGCTCAAAGTTGGTATGAGTAAACTAGACTTAATGAATACGATGATCAAAAAATTTCATCAAAAAATTCTACCGGGAACTACCCCAAAATTTGATCAGGTAGTATTCTTGTATTTCTTGTCACTGTTATTTCCTTTGTGTATTGTTGTACTATATACTCTCCCCGTCCCGCAAAGAAGTTCTTGCTTTTCTTTTTTAGCTGTCCCAAAAAGAAGTTCCCCTTTCCTTAAATGGGAAGTTATATACATCAAATAGTGCAAAACAGTGCAAATCAGTGTCAAACAGTGCCAAACAGTGTCGAAACGGTATCAAAACAGTAAAATTTACCCCCCTGACAAGTTTATTTCATTAATATGTGTGTAGGTCAAACCGTGAACTTCTTTGCGGGACGGAGGGAGTATTAAATTACATGAAATATTGGAAATAAGCTCACACTAGAGTTTTGCCCATAGGGCGTGAAAAATAAGGCATTGGCACAATTAAGCTCATAACATTATGCGCAGGGGCGTAGCTAGACCGGTCATACTAGGCCCCACTCAACCCCAAGTTCAAAAAATGTTTAGATTTATCATGTGAAAGAATTATAAACTTGGTATATATATAAATGAAAAATTCTTTGTACTCACCCGGCGGCATGAACTGTATCATCATGTCTATGCCACCCGTGCGCATGTGTCAATACGTGCATGTTATATATTTTATCACAATATTTTCATAGTTAATTCCATTGGGAAAAAAACCTAAATAATACTAAAAGACATGAGGTTTCCCAAAATATGACTCAAATTGAATTTTAACATCCCTATGACTAAACACCGTGTGACATACATGGACGCATGATACAATGGCAATAAAAAAACCAAAAATGCCCTTCCCCGTAACTAACACACGCGGATTAAGAAATGGAATAATTTCCGCTGCTAAAGCAAGGGGAAGTGGCAATGAAAGATGAGCAATTCAATGGAATCGGGCAGATCACTAAGACCATAGTGTCTGTCAGGTATTCATAACGACCGCTGAGAGGAGAAATTGAGAAGGAGGAGCAATCGTCTTCACGAACACCGACATCGGACACTCTGATTGTGAAGCCGGTGTAGTTGATCGAACGGACATTGCACTTTCCGGAGTAGAGATGGAGCACTGTAGCATTATTGTTTTCACAGAACATAGTATGTCTCTCGTCTCCACAGTGTTTAGGGTCGGTACTGGGCCGGAAAGGGTAACTGATGTCGCGGATATCGCCGCACGAAGCGGGATTGAGAATGTGAATTTGGGGCATTAATTATGAGGGCATTGTGAAGTATTAGTCGCGAGCGAGGCAGTATTTTTGGGCAGTAAGTACAAGGAAGAGATTAATAGGTCAATAAAGAATTCGAGGGGCAGTAATTTTTGTAGGCAGTAGATTTAAGGCAGCAAAGCGAGAAAATTGGGGGATTTGAAGTGGTGTAACCGACAAATCGTGTAGGTAGTAGCAGTAATCAGCAATACAAAATTATGGGAGATAAGGTGGTGTAATAAAAAAATGGCGGTGTAAACATTAGATTACATTACATTACATTACATTACATAGGCATTAAGTTGCTGAAGCGTAGGTGATGGAATAACACAACTAAGGCATTATAAAAATCACAATGGCATAAAGTTGATTAAGACAGTAAAATATTAAGACAACACATGAAATATGTTGACATTCCCAGGACACATAAATATCAACGAATTTGTACCTTATAAATGAACAATTAATTATCATAATTTCATTGCCCTAATTTTCCCAATTTATGATCATCTGCCGTAATTATCTTTTGAGATTCAAAATAGTGGAAGCAGTTACCTTTTATTTGTTAATTCCTTCTTTTTAGGAGTTTTCATTAATACGGATGCCAGTTACAACTCTAAACGGTTATCATATGCACGGAGTACTACGTATTAAGTCATGCGCATGTTTTTAGCCGGTCCTTGATTTTAGGAGGAAAACAGTTTTTTATTTAAATGAAATGAGGACATTTCTGGGATTAAAATTAAAAACACAACACGTGCATGGCCATCAGCATGTGCGAATAATATAATAGGAATAAAACTTAATGTAGTCATATACTAGGAATGACATACTCTTTTAGTCATAGAAGAGATAATTTTCTCTAATTCCATTATCATGCCATCACTTTCATATCACATAATCATACACGATTTCTTCCAGATTTGTATATCATGCTCCATTTACTCATAACAATAGCATTTTCATTAGGCATTATTAATCATTAATAATCCATGAAAACCACATTTTATTACTTTAGATAATCTTATGAAATTAACTCACTAATTATAAGCAATATAGTCAGTCATCCTCACCTCGTGATGTGCTACAATAGTTGCTTTTGTTAAGCCCCTCGATCAATCCCCGTTCTAGGCCGATTGAAAGTGGAAGACTGGACTGTTGGACAAAAGCCAGACGGCTTTCACGAAAGCCGGGCGACGTTCGTAGTCTGCAACTACGAAGAGCTCCTTTGGAGTGGCGGTTTCCGGCGGTTTCGACTCCTATCGATTCCACAACTCTTCTAAGTTAAATACCAACACTTTATAACATATTTCTACACTTTTAAACGTGTAGAACATCCCCATTAATCCAACATATGATTTCTTCAAAATCATATTCACTAAATATATTATAACTAGTTGGACGAGAATAGCATTCGGTTACCTAGAAACGAGTTCTCTTCTTCCCGGAAACCCTTTCTTTCTCCTTCCTTGCTCCAAGAACGTGTGAAGCTCCTTGTGAGCTCTCTTCCCTCTCTAAGTGGCGTAGGAGGCTTCCCAAAATGAGAGGATAAGGAGACTCTCCTCTCTTATCTTCTATTTTTAGAAGGTTGAGCCAATTTAGTTGGGTTGGGTTCGTGGGCTGCTCCTTTTAATTTACTCCGACCCAAATGACTTTTATTCGTTTACTTATATTATTTTAGGCTAGTAGGCCTCAATAGATCGATCCTAAAATATATTGGATATTCCTCTCCAATGTTCCGGGCTTAAACCCCTTTACCTTTCTATTATTAGAAAGTGGCTCAAAAAGTCCCTTTATTTTATTCCTTTACCTTTTATCCGGCCCAAACATTCGTATATAACTTATTTCCTTATCCTTGGGTTTTTAACTAATTTAACATGGTCCAAGAATATACTAGTTAGTCCATCCCCATTTTCTTTAGGGTCCGACACACAATATAATTAATCGGTATTAATTTAATCAATTAATCATTTCTCATATGATTAATATTTTTGTAACTAGTTTTTAAAATGAATAAATATTCACGAACTCAACCAGTTATCCTCATCGACATTGGTATTTGTAATTTCTATTAAATTTTAATATTAATGGATTAATTAATTTCAGTTCAAACTGGGAGCGGTATCACAGAGTAGAATATAAAAAAGATCCATGGTCCATCAACATTCAAACATGACAAATGCGAGCTAGCAAGCTAGCTTAGTAGCTTAATTGTTTTATTCAATTGAACTTGAAAACACTAAACAAGGAACCCATGAAATACATACGGAGTAGAGCAGTTTTTATTTATTATGCCATGCATGGGAAGTGATTAGGCCTGTTTGGCAAGGTACTCATCCAACTCTTTGAAGTTCTTCTCAGCAAAGACCTGAATGGCGGTGGGGTCGGGAATCTCATGACTGGTCTTCTCGTACAAACAGCTCCACTGCACCAAGCTCCCTCCTTCCTCCTTGGGAAGCACAGTCACTTGAGCCTTGAAGCTTTTGTAGTACTCTAGCAGATCTCCCTCAATCACGCTGTAAGCAAATGTCCTGTTTGCTGGGTCCACTACTTCGATCCTCTCCTTCGACACCTTCACTATCGGTGAACCTACCACACGTTTTTATATTTTGTCACTTTTGTGTACACAAACATTTGGTCAAAAAAATCACAACATTTTAGAAAAATATACTCAAGTACGGAGTATATTATTCTTCAACTAAGTTTTAGGTAGTACGTGAAATTGATTCTGTTTCTACTTCTTTTTTAAAGCAGAAGTAAAATCAGAACCAGTTTTCAGAAGCTGGTCTGCTCCAGTTTCTAAAAAACTGCTTCTAGGTGTATATTAGAGCACCAAAAGTACTTCTGCACTTTCACCTAAACACTACAACTTCTGCTTCTGCTTGTTGAAGGAGCAGAAGCAGTTTTAAGAATCAGATCCAAACACCTCCGTAATCAGATTCTTGGATCCGCCTCCACAGTGTACTACTCCCTCAGTCCCATTTTGTAAGATACTTTTCCTATTCATTTGATCAACACAAATCACTCTTAATCTCTTAGTGTATACAAGTATATCAAATTTTTATCAAATTTAATTCTGGTTTTTGAGACTTTGTAAAGCTTTTTATATAGTTTCTGAATATGTAATTCTTTTTTCTAAAAATAATTTGAGTGCGAACAGGGATCTGTTTGATTTATCATCGGTCAAACATCGTAAAACCTAAATTGTCTTACAATTCGGGACGGAAGGAGTATTACTTTAATACTACATTCGTCCCCCAATTAAGTTCCCAGGCCATATCCATTTATCTAGTCAAACTTTTAAAACTTTGACCGCTAATTATTCAAAATTTACATTGCTTTAATGGCACACAAAGTTAATTTTATAAGTGCACTTCATTTCAATATACTCCATTATAGGTTTTGCTAGTTTAGGTTTTTAGATATTTAGGATCAAACATATAAAAGTCAAACCGTGAACTTAATTGTGGGACACTAGTAAATCGATATATACTTTGTATATACCTTCTCCATAGTTGATCAATCGGACGGAGCCAACAACGATGCCATCGCCTTCGACGATTTCAACGCTTTTGTAGTCATTGGGAAAGGCTTTGGGGTAGATGAAGATGAAGTCCCTTAGGGCTTCCCATATCTTATCAGCATGGGCCTTCACTTCCACTTCTACGCTAAGCTTTCCACTTATATCAGCCATCTTTAGCTAATATAATTAAGTCTAACTATTATATATGAACTCTAGCTGGAAGCTAAATAAGGAACCTCAGCTCTGGTGATAGAATGTGTGTATCTGCTTTTAGCTATGGTCTAAGAGTGCACATATATATAGTACGTATAGAGGACTAATGCCTGTGAGATATACAGATCGTCTCATTCGATCATCAAAATAATCGTGATGGTACGCCAATGCAAGTTCACCTACCATTCCAGGCTTCCTACCCTACAACTTTAAGTTTTCCTCGTTGCTTCAGTAACGTACCCATAAGTTTCTTAACAGACCGACACATATCACTTTTGTCCATCAAAATGGTGACAACAATCATAGTGCACATTCAATTTTTTTTTATAATGTACATAGTATAATTTTTTTTGTTCCAAAAGGTTGAAAACCCAGACCTCAAGGGTTCTCACGTCCTGATACGATAAGACATTTGAAAGGTTGTAAGTTACGATTACGTAATCAATCTAATATTGGTAGACAACGAGTAAGTACCGTTAATAACTCATTGACATGATATCATCGATAGGTATCAGGGGCGGACCGTAGTAGAGACCCAGATAATATTTTGAACTCCCCAAAAAATATTTTTGTTCCCAAGATGACTTTACTGGGTTCGCCCTTGGTAGCTATATAAGCTCACACACTACAAGTGGTGTATATAGCTCACATAAAAATTAGTGGAACACTAATATGATCGTTGTAGAACATGCACGTTGGCTTGATGAAGAGCGTAAATTCTCTAATATATTATCGTAAACAGATAAGAACATTTTTAAATAGAGTGAATTCCTAAAATAGGAGTAAAACATTAGCCAAATGTGAAAATGGGAGTATCATACTTTGAATAGGAGTAATTTTAGAGTTCGTTTGATAATATCCAAAATAGCTGTATTAACTAATTCTACCGAAATTTTTTGAAGTTCTAGCTGAAGTGTCTGGATTGGATGATTCAGTTGATTTATGGAAAAAATATTTAAAGTATACGTAGTATTTTATTAATAAAATAAAGAAAAAATATATGAAAAGCAACGAAAATAATTTTCTACAATAACTTCCGTCAATACAACCAGAAAAGTAATTTCATCCTTACTTTTCCTTATTATTACACAATTCAGCGCTCGAAATCAAAAATTACGTACTTGGTGAAAGTGTTGGGTGATAAGTCTGATAAGCCGAATAACAAGATCACCAAACGAGTTCTTAGTATTTAGACAAATATACCCTACCCAAGCCCCAAGCCCCAACCACTTTCATTAGATAATACAAATGTAAAAAATAAAAAACACGAAAATATATAATCCATATTAAATAAAATATACTCCGCATTAAATAAAATTAATACAAATAAAAAAAATATTTTAAAAAATGTTATATAAAAACTAACAAAAAAAATAAAATTTAAACAATATAAAAAAATATGCATGCCCCTACTGCCGCATCAACTCCAACCACCGAAAACATGTTAACATTTTTCACAAACGTCATCTTGATGGTAGTTTTCGAGAAAATTTGAAATTTTCAAAGAATAAAAATGTCATCTTTATGACACTTTCAAAGAAAAATTGTAGTTTTTACAAAAAAAAAATGACATTTTTAGCTAATATAATTAAGTCTAACTATTAAGTCTAGACCTCCATATTTGTTGGCATTGTTGGGCGGTGGCCGAGGCTGCAAGAAAGGCCTCCATAATTTTTTATATGTTTCAATGTGTTTTATCTGTTTTTTATTTATTTTTAATTTTTTTTTGTTTTTTTTGTTATTTTGTTTTTTAATAATTTTAATATTTAAAAAAAAAATTAATAGGATCAAATAAGTCTTACTACTTTTATTTAAGAAATAATTAATTAAGTCAGAGGTATTAAGGGTAGAAAATTAATGTTTACTCTTATCAAAAGAAATTTTAAATTTTACTCATATTTGTGCAATTTTGTAATACTATTTTCATTTTGCAATCACAATATTTGTTAACATATTAAAAAAAATCACATGGTACATATAACAATTGAATACTCCGCTAGTAATTGGTACTGTTGGCAGATTACACCGCTAATAATTGTATTGGCACCACACACAAAAAAAGTGACAAATAATGACATTAACCGCGACTTGTCAATTGACTCCTCAAACGTATCCTGTACTGTTTATTTACTCCGTATTAAATAAACGTATCTAGAGTAGTTCAAGCTTAGCTAATAATGACGCCGGTAGAGTAGTTCAAGAATGAGTAGGCACCCATTCAGTATGCATGTATCCTCCCATAAAAATGATGTAATTACACGTTTTTTTGTACAATATTTTTTTGTGGACATAAATTTTGTACATACTTGATACTACCTCCGTTCCCATTTTAACTTCCAAATGGATTTGGCACAAAGTTTAAGATAGTGGATATTGTGTGGTGGAGAATTGTGCAGAGGAGAGAGAAATGTGTAAAAAATATTATGAACCACAAATTCTTTACCAAAAAGTGAAAGTGAAAATTTTAATTGGAACGGACGAAAAAGGAAAGTTGGAAGTTTATTTAGGAACGGAGGGAGTATATTCTTCGGTCTATATAAACAATTGTTGTTTTTTGTAATCAATGTGTCTGTGTATATGGTCAACTGGGAGTGGAGTCAAGATTTCATTAGAGGAGGTCTAGAAAGAGGACCATTAAGGAACGACATGTTTGAGTAATGCTCGGGAAAGTTAAAAAAAATGCTAGTTGTTGATATTAGAAATAATGGCATTAATATTACTTCTCACATTTTGATAGACAAAATTATGACCCTTTTACATAATTCCACAAAAGTGATCGCCTCTGCGCTTCCGTTGCTTTCAACTTAGGGATTTCATCTTCCTCTTCCGCACACGACTTCTGCACATCTTCCTCCTCCGCCAAGGACTTCTGCACATCTTCCTCTTCCGCGCAGGACTTCCGCAGAGGACTTCCGCAGAGGACTTCCACACATGACTTCCGCACATCTTCCTCTCCCGCCCAGGACTTCCACAAATCTCCGCTCGCAGCTCATCGTCTCCCAACAAACTTTCCATCATCTCCATCTTCTCCCATCGCCGTCGAGTGCAAATCGCATCTCCTAAATCGTTTTCTTCACCTTTCTTCATCTCCATCTCGGATCTGCGACGAGTGGCGGCGGGGAAGTCAAGTGTTGACGGGGTTGGGCGACGTTGGGGCAGATAGGCTGGGGTTGGGGTTGGGAAGCTGTGGGTGGATGGGGTAGCAGGGGAGGTGACCGAAGCTGAGGTAGCGGGGGAGGGGACTGGGTTGGCTGTGGACGGGGTTGTGCAGCTGTGGGGGGAGGGGAGCAGGGAAGGGGGCTGGGGTGCAGGGGAGGGGGCTGGAGGTGCAAGGGATGGGCTGGAGGCAGAAAAGGGGGTTGGAGGGAGCAGGGGAGGGGGTTGGGGCAGAAAAGGGGGCTGGGGGGCTGGGGGAGCAAGGGTAGCGACGGTGGCCGGGTGTAGCAGGGACAGCGGTGATAGTGGGGTTAAGGGTTGGTAGGGGTTGGGGTATGCTGGAAAGGGGGTTGGGGTCTGTGTAGGAGATGGGATGGGATTGGCGGCCAGTTGTGGTGGCCAGCGGTGGTGGTAGGTGGCAGTGGCAGGGCAGTGCTAGGGTGGGGTTGGCCGGGGACGGGGCTGAGGGACTGTGAGGAGCGGTGGAGGGCGTGTCACTATGGCGATGTCACTGTGGTTGATGGGCGGGCCGTCACTTTGGTCGGAGTCACTTTTGCGGTGTCACTATGGTGGTGTCACTGTGGTGGTGTCGTTGTGGTTGGAGCGGTGATCGGTGGCGGCGGTGACCGACAATGGCGACAGTGACATGATATCTTATGGTGACATATAATAGTGACATAACAGTCCGGAGTGACAAAAAATGACAGTGACATCATGTTTTCCAAAAATGTGACCTTCTTAGTCTCATTTTTGTCTTTTTTAAAAATGGTCACATTTTTGGAAATCAGTTTAAATTAAGTAATATTGAAGAAAAAAGCCCTTGATATTATTTGCTTGATTTTGCATCCTCGAATTCAAAGAAAATTAGATACGGAGTATAATTATTATTAAGAATTCCACTATGTTATGTGATATGCGGATGTCCATTATGATATCTGGCTCATTAGTATTGTTAGAGTCCAGTCCATCCCATATGTCACCCTATCCCCGATTCCCTTTGTATATATACATGTACATGTTAATGAAAAAGATGATTTGATTCGAATTCATCACACGTTATCAGCACGACTTGCTCTAAAACCCTACAACTTGTCTCCTCTCTTTTGGCGGGATATTCTCTCTAGTCTCTACCGCCCGTTATTCTTTCATCCCAATGGCGCCGCCGCACCACGAGATACAGTTGCCGACATTGCACTGTGCTAGCAATTCTTGTTGTTTTTTATACATATCCCTTATTTTCTCTCTTTCCAATCGGTCATCGCCACTTTGACCAAACAGGAAAAAAATGGAGCGCACGACTGCTCTCTGTCGATATGTTGTCTAGCTAGATTTTATGATGTCTCGGCGGATTAGATAAAATTACCAGTTGTCTAGCTAGAGTCGCCTATCTAATACTCCGTATAAACCAAGGTTTTTGTTGAAAATTAAACTTGTTTTTGGGCCTAATTAATATTTAGTTTTAGTTGTTGTTGGGAAGGCCCAAGTGATAGAAAAATGTAGAAGGAATAAATTCTAGAGTTTCTCTAGAAGATGTGGTCTAGAATTTTCCTATAATTAATTGAGTAGAATTGTGTAGAATGTATTAATTGTAGAAGATTCTAGATATCTTTGTGCTAGTATAAATAGAGGTCTCCTACCCCCACTTTGTATCAAGAAAATCAAGCAAATTGAGTTATTCTAATAAAAAGAGTTCTTCCCCTTTGTTCAAATATCTCTTCCATAATATTTCTAATTTAGCCTCCCAATTTCCCAAATCTTCCTTCACTTATTTCCAACAGTGGTATCAAAGCCGTTCGGTCATCACCCTAAAATGGCCGGTTCTCTTGAAGTTCCTTCATTAAAAAAGGAGAATTATGATAATTGGAGCATTCGCATGAAGGCAATACTTGGTTCGGAAGATGTGTGGGACATGGTAGAGGAAGGCTTCAAGGAACCCGAAGACATCAATGCCTTAAATCAAAATCAAAAGAATGCCTTGAGGAGTACTAAGAAGAAAGATCAAAAGGCGCTCTCTATCA